TTCAAGAGGAGTATTCTATATTCCTAGTTTGGGCTTTATGTCTTGTATCATTCTTTAACTGGTCACAATTCAGTTTATGATCTATAGCTTCATGGAAACTGCTTGGGCAAAAGCTGTATGTAACTTCATCATTTTCAAATCTAAAAGCCTCCTCTTTTCATCCTGCATCCTTCCTTAACTTTTGAACATTTGATCCCATTAACAACTACCTCCTCTTCTTCAAAATCCAGCTCCTTGCAAAGACTTGCCTAACTCCCCTCCAACATCAGTTGTCTCCTTCACTTGCTCCTCTACCTCAACTGATCCCTTAAATACTGAGGTTATCCAAGTCACTATCCTTTGTTTTCTCTTTATTTCACTGACTTGTCTCTTCTGGTTCTTCTGATCTTCACTCTGGACTTTAAAGGCCACCAGCACAGCTATATTCCTAGTTGCCCATTTATTCTGAAGGCCATGACAGACTGTCTATTCCAATTGTCTTTGTTTTTGTTTTCAGTTAGGTAATATAAATATTCCTCAATAAAATAAGCCAGAAAATAAATGCATCTGATCTCTCCTCTCTAGACTACTATTTTTCCTTTCTTGGTGAACAGCGGTACTCTAATCCCTATACAGGGTCGCTGTGGGTCAGAATCGACTTGACGGCACTTCACAAGAACAAGATCTGCTTGGTTGTCTAGGTGGAGGTGATTTCCTCAGTCTGACTTGACTCCTCCCTCTTCTTCTGCCTTACATCCTACCTGCATGAGAAGACTTGATGACTTCATTCAACACATACCTTGAATTCATTCCCTTGTCTCAATCACCGCTGTCACTGCCTCATCCAGCCCTTCACATCCCTGGTGTTGATACAATAGCCTCCCAACTGTTTTCTCTCACTCTAGTCTCTCAGACTCTGAGCAATCCTGCTTACTGGACTGCTAACTGAAAGACAGTTCAAAGCCACCAGCTGTTCCTGAGAAACTCTATATAGAGAGGGTCACTATGACTCAGAACTACCTTGGTAGGACTTAGTGACACTGCCACCACCATCACCACAGTAATCTGCACAACAGACCTATTATTGGTATTCCTCTGGCTATAAAACTCCAAAGGTTCCACATGGGCAACAAAAAAAGGCCTCAGTGACCACTGGTCCTAGCCTAGGTTTTGAGAACTTCCTTCTCTTGTACCTATGAATTTGTTATAAAATACTTTTATGCTTCTGTGGCTTAACTCATGCTGTCCCTTTGTCTGGAATGCCTTCCTTCCTTTGGTCTTCCCGGTAGGTTCCTAGTATCATCCCCCACAGCCCCACTTCATACCTGTTGTCTTTTCTTTTCCCTACATACCTTGCCCTCAACTCTAAGGAAATCACTGTTCCCACATCTGTGTTCCCACACAGATCTTCATTACAGGACTAACCACAGAGCGTTACCAAGTCATCTGTTGACTCACTTGCCTGCACTCTTTTACCATGAGTCCTTCAAAGGCAGGGCCTGTATTATTCATCTTTGTTGCACCAGGTTCTAATTCACTGTTTGGATCATAGTTGGATGCTCAATAAATCTGAGTTAAATGAGCTTATTAATCGGCCTTTTCCTGTTTGCGGTATTCAATTAGGCTGCAGCTTTATTGTCATAGCAGTATGTGAAAACACACATTCAATATCAAAGAACATACTTTAGTATGTGACACCTATGGAGTTTGGATTTTTGTTGAAATGGCATTAAGGTCCAATAGCTGTTAAAATGTGAACAATGCATCACCTACAATAAAGATAAATACAGCTGATGGTCTGTCAACATCATACACAACCTTGCTACTTACTGCATTTGCTATCATTCATTCATCTATTCCATCATTCATATTATCTCTTTTAAAAAGAGTTTGCGCTTACATAATGTAGTTGTTTCGTCTGTCAAGTGAGCCCTGCTGGCACAGCAGTGAAAACACTGGACTGCTAACCAAAGGATCGGTGGTTTGAATCCACCAGCAGCTCCATAGGAGAAATTTGTGACAGTCTTCTTCTGTAAAACTTTATAGCCTTGGGAATTCTATGGGGCTGTTTTACTCTGTCTCATAGGGTTGCCAAAGCAGATGGAAGAAATGAGGAGGTCCAAGAGCTGAACAGAAAATTTCAAAAATCAGCTCGAGAAGATAGAGTTAAATATTATAACAAAATGTGCAAAAATCTGGAATCAGAAAACCAAAAAGGAAGAACACTCTCAGCATTTCTCAAGCTGGGGAAACTGAAGAAAAAATTCAAGC